AAGAAACTGGTTACTAAAGGGCCAAAATGGTCCTCTTTATTTTTAGTTAACTGGATGTCTGTCACAATGTCTGTCGCAAGCCTAGTCAAGAAACAGCTTAAGGCCCGAACTACCTAATAGGCATTTTACTCTCCGACCGCAGACGAGGCCACAAACAACTTAAGATGCAGGATTTCAAGCCTTCATATATGTGGTGGCGGTTAGTGCTAGAGGAAAAAACATATCTGCGCCAAAAAAGTGACCGTACTATTAACTAGCCGAATCAGTGGGAGGAAACATAAAACAGCAATCAATTTAAAAAATCTCAGTGCAAGATGTTGGAAAAGACTTGCATGCCGAGGTGCAAATGCAGGAACAGGAAGTGTCTTCAAAAACAAGCACTTATTTCATAGATACACAGAGGAGAGTCATAGGATATACAACTGTCATAGAAATGCGTCAAAGCAAGACCTGTTGGTCTATGTCCTTGAAACCTATCTCAGTTTAGAATGTGTATGCCAATCATGCAGATGACATCAGCATTCCGCCGTTAATAATTTTATCATGTTTCTACAAGACCCTTGCCTAAATGCTATGTCTTTTGCTAGCAAGTAAATCATGAATCCCTATTTAGTACAGAAATAAGTGGAATCTTTTTGTTTCAAAAGCTCCTGCTCTGAAGTGTCCTACAAGTGCTAGAAATTATCACACGCTCGGTGGAAAAAGAAAAAAAGGGAATCAGTTTTATTATGTTTGGCTTTTATGTGAATGATTGATGGGCCCTACTTTTTAGTGGGTCCCATTTCGGCAATAAAGGAACGAAACGTGTAAAGTGCAAATACTGACAGATTTTTCGAATGAAAATGTGCTTTGCAAATTTCAGGAAGCTAATTAGATAATCTCAGTCAGAATTGGAAAAAAACGGTTTGTACGACGGGGTGCAAATACCTAGCAAGACCGTGGAGATGATTCTAGCTGCTACGACCTTCACGCTCAAATCCGTGTCCTGAAAGAAATCTATATATACGAGTATACATCAAGGTGAAAATTCATCCGTAAACGTATGTAGCTCGGTCTAGCCTCAACATGTTTGCACCAATCCTGCAGTTTGTTCTGCTATCCA